TCCGCCGCCGCCGCCGCGCACTGAGCGGCGCCGGAGCCCCGCCCGCGCCGGCCCCGCCCCGCTCGGCAAAACCACGCCCACCTACCGAGAAACCACGCCCACCTACATAGGGAGCGATCCACGTACACCGAAACCACGCCCACCTACGGGAAAACCACGCCCGCCCACTTAGGGAGCATGTTCACGCCCCACCGAAACCACGCCCACCTACAGGGAAACCACGCCCACACGCAGGAAAAACGCCGGCCGCCTCACCCTTACCCGAGCCGCGTCGCCACGCCCCCATGGAGAAACCACGCCCCCTCACGTCCCCAGGCCACGCCCCCTGGCCGCCGCGCCCGGCAGCTCCACGTGGCCCCGCGGCGCGGCTGGAGCGTGTGCCAAAAGGAGAATAAATTGGGATGAAATTCGGAAATGATAAATAAAAGTTGCCCAGAAGGCCGGCAGGAACAGCCTAGGGGCGAGGGACTCTTCTTAGGAAGGGCTGATATGTTGGCTAAATAATTATAATTGAAAAAGATCGTTAAAAAATGAGAAAAAAATCATTAAAAGCGGCTCATGCTTTTGTGTTCCCAGCCGCCGGGACGCGGCGGGTGAGGGTGACACGCAGTGACAGGCACCCAGGCCCAGGTGCTGCCTCAGCACCGAGCTGGCTGTGGGGCGGCAGCGCCCTGGGCGGGGGCTCCCCATCCAAGCTGAAAACGCAGGAAAACGCCTTTAATCGCGGCTTGGGTAAGCGAGCGCCGCCCTCGGGCGACGCGGCTTTTCCCAGGGGAGAGCGCCCCGTCATCCGGGCCGCTCCTTCTCCCGCTTTTCCGCTTGAGGAAAGGCAGGACTCGATCACAACCCGCGTGCTTTGATCTTCATGCCCCCGATTGGGACGCAGGCCCTGGCCCCAAAGCGGCATCCAAGGACAGGGATGCCCGCGCGAGGTGTTTAAGCCTGATAGCAGCCCTTGAACATTTGCAAAGGACCCTTGAATGTTTGTGTTCATTAAAAAAAAACCCAAAAATTACAAGGGGGCTTTGGGAAAGAGAAAGAATAGGCGGAAAAAAGAGGGGAAAAAAATGAAAAACAAGAACCTCCCCAGTGTATGGAGAGCAGACAGGACAGTCTTACTCACCAGCTGCTCATCTGTGTGACACTTAAGGCCTTAAACATTAATGTGGAAGGTAAGATGCTTCCATGAAGCTCTCAAAGGAGCCTTTTTGCCCCCATGCCGAACATGGTGCTATCCCCCTGTGAAAAAGCCAATTAAACACTGGCAAATTAACAGCCTCTTGCAGAGCAGCACCTACAGCAGCTTCCTGCATTTCCACAACGCACACGTGGACGTTTGCAAAAGCCTTGGGAGGGTTTCGAGAGGGTTGGTGCCAGCTACCCTTAGGGAAAGCGATTTATAGGACGCCGACCCCCGTGGAAGGTCTCGAGTTCTGGTGGCTGTAAAAGTGTCAGGGAGCCAAGGAGCTCAGCTCCCCCGGCGCTTAAGGACGCTGAACGATGCAATGAGGGTGTTTGGGCTGCTGTAAACTTGACCAGCAGGAACAGCACAGGCTGCTTTGGCGAAGGACCCGTGCCAGCATCGTGGGGTGGCACCGGGAACGGCGTCTGCGCAACCACCTCAGCAAAACGGCGCTGTGGGAAGCACTGCCGCTCCAGCCTACGCTCCGGGAACGGGGAAGGGCTGTTCCACATACACAATACGCACACAAATACATAATTAGTGAGTCAAAAGGTCCTTTAACTCTTGGAAGAAGGAGTTTAGTAGCGATGGGTGTTGCGAACTTGCCCCTAAACACATTGCATGGGGGTGAAATCAGCAGCCGCAGAGGCGAGAGGGGAGAAACGTGGCACGCCTTCGCCCAGTGCTCATGGCCGGGTCATGGCGTGTGCAGGTGTCACACAGGGTGGCACCTTATTCAGCCACGGTGCTAATTACTGGTTAGGGGTTGCTGGACAGGGCTGCGTGTTTAGGTTAGGGGAAGGAGGGATGGAAACATGGCCCTTGAAAGCCACCCCGCGAGGACACAGGGCAGAGCCGCTCTCCTGCTCGCTCCTTTCTGCCCTGCTCCTTGGCTGCCCAGCCCCAAGACGAGCAGCAATGAAGGGAAAAATGGGAAGAGATCCTGGCCTTTCGCCTGCCAACAGGTTAAAATACTAGTCGAATCCATCGGACCCATTCGTTCGATTTATTTAAGTTCAAAGATGTGCACGCTAAAGCATTAAGATTTCCTTGGTTTGGATTGCTCTCTGTACAAGTTCTTTCAACCAACTGGAATACGCTAAGCTTTACAGTTAGAAGCGCTGAAACGTGGGATAAAACAAATCTAATTCCAAATCACTCCGAGAGAAAAAAAAAAAGGTATAAAATAAAATTAAAAAAAAAAATACGAACAAACTGCAGCACTCCTCGAGGAAGGGCCAGACTGCACAAGGAGGAGCACAAAGGGATGGAGGGAAGGCAAGCCGGCGGAGTCCTGCCCTCTGCCTCTGTGTGCCCGCAGCTCAGGGGATGGAGTTCAGAAGATCCTTGAGAAAGCTCTCGGCGTCGTTGATCTCTGATAAGAGGCCTTTGAACAACGACAAGAAGAGAAATACGGACTCGTTAGCGCCCCAGAGCTTCCTCCCCTGCCCATAGGAAGAATTTGTGCGAGGGCGACCGTGCCCTGGGCTGTTGGTGACAGCTGCGGCGTTATTTTGGGTAGGGACAGGACCGGGATAACCCCTCGGACGTGCGCAGCAGGCCCCAAGGCGCAGGAGGGTTGGACGCGCGCGACGCTGCTTCGTGTGCAAGGGACCAGGGGCTGCCCAGGCCGCTGCTCCTCTTAGCCCTAAAATCAGCCTCTCTGCGGGGGAGTTTCCAGTATCTTCGCTTTGGGGATGGCAAATTCCCTATGGCAGGAGCCCCCACAGCAGCAAACTGCGCTCTGCTGCACCCAGTACCGACCCACAGCTCGGGGGCCTGGACAGTGCGCGGCCCCCAACACCCAGGGCACGACGCAGCCCGGAGCGCCCTGCAGGAGCAGCTGCGAGAAACGCTCCGGTCCGGGGCTGCTCCCGGGACCCTGCCGGCTGTTACTGCAACAGGCAACAACGCGAGGCCTCCTTCCTCGGCCTCGTACAAACAAACCCCGCGCCGCTGCTGGAACGCTGCTGTCCCGAGGCGCTGGCAGTCACGGGTTGCACGAGGCGGCCTATAAAAGGTAAAAGCAAACGCTCACCAGCCACGTCCAGAAACTCGGAAAAGGTTTCGACTGGCATGAACTCCTCCTGGAAGGTTTTCAGGGCCTTGTCTGCAGCTTCGTGTATTGGCATGTCGTTGTGTCGAATGAATTCGGCCAGAGAGTAGGACCAGCCTCCCTCCGTGTTACTGGTAGGCACCTTCTGCAGGGGTGCAAGCAGCCCAGGTTAGTGCAAACTGGCCCAGGGACACGGAGAACAACTTCCAGCTTCTCCTTGCTGCCTTCTCTACAATTCCTCCCTGTTTCTCTAGAGAGCACATTAAAAACGCCACGAGCATTTTCTCATCCTAATGACTGAACCCACCAAGTGCCTCCCACAGCTTTTCTGTCCAGGGAGGTGAAATTTCAAGTTTGGAAGAGGAGGTTTCAAACACTGCTGTTATGAAACGCACATGCTTTGGTTTTCACATCGGGAAGCTGACACAGATGAACGTTAATGTTTCCTTACCTTGAACATGTTGTAAATGAGATCTACTAGGGCCCAGAAGAGAAGGCCGGAGCGGTAGGTTGCATATTCCTTCACTGCCTTATCTGCCAGCCTGGGAAAACAATGAAATCCATCTCTGAGTTACCCCTCATTTTGCTGCTTTTGTCACCCATTGAGGAAGAGTGCGAAAGCTGAAACGGCCCCAAACCTATGGACAATTCACCCTAGGACATAGCTCTGAGGGCTGGTTCCCCGTGACAGCCGTGAACACAGGGAGCAATTCCAGGGCGATACCTGCTCACTTTTTCCTATTGCCATGTAAGGGCTTTGCCAAGTCCCCCGCCTCGCTGCAGAAATGCTATAAAAGGTGCTGAGCCAGGTTGGGATAACAGCTCCCGTGATCTGCTCAAGGCTACAGCGTTAATCACCAACAGGTTCCGGCAAGTGGCACCTCCTGCCCGCCAGTCTCATGGCTTAGGAATTCCCTTGCCTGCCTTCAGCAGGTACATCGGGCCTCAGCACATGCTGCCTCCTGCCTGGCATTCAAAAGCTTTGGGAAAATTTTTTAAAAAAAGCCTTTTAAACGTAGATCTAGTTGTGATACCATGGACTCCAGCCCACGAGACAGAAGGGCACCAGTAACCATGGTCAGCTGGATCACGTTGAGCTCTGTGAAGCTGCTGCTTTGCTGCCCTTCCCCAAGCAGCTCTGTGTGACTCCACACTCTCCTCTTCCCTTAAAGCAGCTGGTTTGGTAGGTGACAGACAGCTTGGGCAGCTGAGCTTAGTTATTTAAAGGAAAAACAATTAAAGGTGACTAAATTTCCAGGGAAAGAGCAGCCTCCCAACTGCTGAAAGATGGGATTTCTTTGCACGCAAGCTTTTATTTATTTTTTTTTGGAGCTAATTGGACTTTATTGCTTTAATTGAAGACCCAAAGGCCCTTGTGGGTTAGGTCGAGGTGGCTACTGAATGCGGCAGCTTCATCATGGAACAGCAGCCACATTTTCATTAGCATAAGCCGGGTCAGGCGCCTCTGCCATGCACGGATTGCCAGCTGGAAGGTAGATGTTAACAGGCGGGAGGGCTCACTGCTCTCATCAATATTTTAGAAAGGTCAGATAGGAGCAAAGAAAGAGATCTGGAGGACATCGTCTTCTCAAACGCCATTTCTAGCCTGAATTCTCCTGTTAGTAACGAGGAGTAGATAAGCAGCCACTCGACCCTTTTCTTTGGAGTTTGTAGGTGACATGTGGAGAAATGAAGAACACAACAAATCAACCCATGTCTATGCTGCTGGCTGCACTGTTGGGTTTAAACAGGAGTCGTTCCTAAAAACGCAGGAGGTGCTGAACGCTTCTGGCTTGGCTCTTGTGTATAAAGGGGTGCTGGAGAAAGGCCCAAGGCCGGGCAGGCAGCGACCCCGTTCCCTGGCTGCAGGCGGTGGCGTCGCGCTCCAGCTTCACCAGCAACATTCCCAGCTGGTTCCTAGGAGCACGAGTTGACCCTCAGGTGCTCCCAATACACCCAGAGCTGCTGCAGAACCTCCCTCCAGCTTCCCTGGTGAAAGGGGCAGGGAATCCCTTAGCTCTTTAACCCTCAGTGCCCACCACCCTCACGTGCTCTGTATGTTGTACCCGCACTCCTGCCTCTAACACAGAAGGCTAAATTTCATCTTTTGTTTGCGGAGCTATCGTTCCAACGTTACAGATGTTGCTCTGTATCTACAGCTGTTCCTAGACGTGGTTAGGCTGCAAATTCAACGGGTTGGTACTTATCTGCAGCGCGTTTCAGCATCCATCTCCCCCTTCCTGCTTTGCTGCAAGAGGAACTAAGCTAAGAGCCTGGACTCAAGAACTCCCATATTTCTATTTCTGAAAGACACAGAAATAGGCCTATTTCTACAGGCATATATAGAAAGGCACAATCAGCAAAGGCTGCAGGTCCTCGTAGTCTAGAGGGATTAAAGGCAGCCCTCAAATAACTATTTCACAGTGGAAATCCCCCAGCTGAGGCGGTTACCGGGAAGCTGCCGGTTCCGTCAGTTCCGACAGGCTCTTATTGCGCCACATGTTACGGATAACTTGGAAAAGAAACCGAAATCACTGGCAGGAGGGTGTTTGGAAAAGAGCAGAAACCCGCAGCAGCCCCGCGGGGCCCTCTCCCCCACCAGCCCTTCCCCAGGGCCCGTGGATGGCGGCCTATCCCGACGGCTGGAAGCGCCACGGGGCGGGATGGCATCCCCCGCGACGGCTCGTGCAGGGATCCATCCCACAGGCCCCGCTTGGCCGAGGAGGCTCCCTCGCTCTGGAGCCTCTAACAGGCGCACTGAGCCACGCTGCGCTCCCCGTTGCTGCACTATAAGGCCTTTATCAAACACCTAATTACGCCGTCACACGAAGAATGCCCTTTAAGGCGACTTAGAATAATAATGAACTTCTTCCTAATTATGACAGCTATTTAAAATCATCCTTTCATAAACTGCAATTCCCCTTCCTTCTCTGGAAATATTTTCTTTTGTCAGGCAGTTGCTTATTCTTGTACTTCTCAAGTGCCTGACAGCTGCTATTGATTTTTCCTTTCTTTTTTTTTGAAAAGCAACAGCATTTGATTTCTATTCCTATTTTTTTTTCCTATTTAAGGAAGCTGTTGCGCTGATCACAAAGAGCAAAGAAACAGTCTTGTTAGTCAAGGCAAGGACAAAGCTGCTAAAATAGAGAAAACAGAGAAAATAAAGGAGCGCTGATCTCCTGATACATCCACTGCAAAAAAGACTCTGGATTGGAGGCTCCTGCTCCTAACTGTGCAGAGCTGAACGCCAAGCCCAGGGGTTAAGCCAGGGTTAGTAGGTGCTGCAAGGCCCTTTTCCATGGCTCCCCTTGGACTGCGGTGCAGCTCTGGCTGCAGGGGCAGTGCCAGGGGCCCCGCTAACCTGCTGGCTCCCCCTGGTGACACCAGGCGCGCGTGGGAGGTGACGAGCAGCCTCTTGAGCATCTCCACGCGCATGGCTCGCCACTTGTCGGGCGGCGAGATGTGCAGCGCCAGCACCGTGTAGTAGTGGGGCCCGTCCACCTCGTAGGCGCTCTCCACCCACTTCTCTTTGGGATGCTCCATGAAGCTCTGCAGGTTCTTCTCCTCCCTCGAAGTCGCTCGCGTTCTGAAACCAGAGAGAGGCATCAGCAGCAGTTCAAGGGCTCCTACGGGTAATTTGTCACTTTGCAGCAGCTCTGAAGCGTTGCATTAAAGCATTTCCACCTGGGAAATAAAGCTGTGCTTGCTTTGCACTGCCAGAGCTTCCTCCAGGCCATCCACTGGCCAACGTTTGTTCATGGTGGAACACAAAACCTCCCTCAGTTTCGAAGCCACGTCTGCCCTCTCTATCAGAAATGCATAAAACAGTATATCCCTAGCAAATAAAGCTGTGCCTAACGTGCTAGGAACGTCTCCTTTGCTACGTTATGCAGCTGGTAGCATAACTAATAGCTCTTCGTCCTCAACATTTAATATCAAACAAAGAAATTCTGGACACGACGTCATGCATTTTTACACAACAGTGATCAAGTAGGTTCTGGGCTCTCTAGTGCCACCAAGAAGACTTTTGAAATTAGATGAATAGTTTCATTCATTTGTCCCTCGGGGGAATCAGTAAACAACAGTGCAGGGATCTGGAGACAAATATTAAAAACAACACTAATTGTGTAAGAGCCAAAATGCTGATTAGTTCCAGGATGGCAAGTCAGCTGAGATTTATTTAATTCCATTTGGAGCAATCATGGTTTAAGAGACATATGTTTTCATATACTATATATTGATTTAATTAATATTACTGTACTCTAGAAGAGTTAACCTAAGAAAAGGTTAATAGGCATTTGTTTTGCACAGGATTATCAGAACTTGCTCAGGTATTCAAAACTATTTAAGCATCTATACATTTGCGCACTTAGACACAGTGTGAAGCCAAGGTGAGACTGATATTTATGCTTTGTGTAAGTGAGTTCTTACACCCACAACTCAAGGGAAGTGCTGCTATGCTGCTGTTTCTTATTAAAAATAACCTATTCTGAAAAACTGGAGTGTTAAGAACAGAACACTACAGGAGAAATCTAGTAACTGGAAATTTGAGCTGAAGCTGACTGGGTTATTTTCACCTTAGGCAGTAACATCAAGATTGAGTTTTCAATTATCAGTAATTACTTCAGAGAAGTCTTTCTCCTGCTTTCCCAGAACAAAGTAAACTGGCAGTCTTCCTTTAATCTAATAATCCCACTGCTCAGCTCAGAGGTATTATTTACAGGTAGAACTGAACAACCTGTACACCTCCCTATTCTTCTGTTGAGTAGGTTCCCTGCTACTCTGCATATTCACGAGCCAGCATGTTTTACTGTGACCAATTTAAACCTGTAACCTTCTGCTCAAACCATGCAATTTGGTTCCTTCTGAAACCTGTAAGTTTCCCACTTTTCTGGCCACATGCATGCGCAAGGGCAGACAGCTCCACTCGTACAACTGCTTGGAGACTAGGCCAGGGAAGGACAGGCTGCTGGTAGAAAAGAGATACTGACGTGTTGAGGACGTAGAGCACCGTGTGGATGATGTATGGAATGAGGTGTATGTTGCTCTCCCTTCCTCCTCCTCCAGTGTCTACACTGAACGATTGCTCCATTGCGAAGCGGAGAAATAGCAGTTTAATGTCATGGACATTGAGCTGGTAGGTGGGCTCCCGCTGCCCCGTGCACTCCTGGAGGTACGTGTTGTGTCTGAAAAACAGCAGAAAACATTACTTTAAGCAGTATCACTTTAAAATGCTGCTGAAGTTTCTTCTTCTGCACTACAAATAACAGCTTTCCCGCTAGGGTAACACACTGTTTCACCCACTCTGAATACAGAACAGTGAGGGAAGTAACTTGGTGTACCCACCTTGCCAAGCACGTAGCAAAGGCAGACTCTGGCACGTGAGGTCCCCAGACGGGCAGGAGCCCGTTGCACTTGGTGTTGGCGTTTTGGAGGGCTGCGCTCTCCCACTCTTCGCGGCCACGAGCCAGCCTGCACATAGAAAGCAAGCAGTACCTCACAGCTTATGAGTAGGTAAAGTTTGGTCAAAGAAGCCACTGGGAATTTGGCAATTCCAGAGCTTCTTCAGCCTCTGCAGCAGTTGTTTTGAATGATAATGGATTTCACTTTTTGGTGCCCAGGCCTGGCTTGTGAATGTTGGACTGACAGAGCACACCAGAGAAGTTGATGGTTGCGTCCAAGCCATCGAGTGACCAAATCATAAGCAAATACAAGGCTGAGTCCCAAAAGCCTCCAAAACACCTTGAAATGCAGCCCTAAGCACTGCAATTGGACCTACCTCACAGCTGCAAGGTGACAGTCATAGTGGACGATGTTGAAATGAGACACTGTGCTGTAGCCCTGCTGCTTTCGGGGTTTGTTCTCAAACTCCTCCAGGGCAACGCGCTTGGTGAAAGTATAAATACCCAGGACCTTTGTGGGCTGCAAGGACAGCAGCTGGGTTAGAGTTTATCCACATCTCTGCACCGTTCATGCTTTATACTGGTTAGACCATAGAAGAATCAGTGCGGTTTCTATTCAGGCCACTGAGCCAACAACCTTCTGATTTCAACCTGACAGTTATTTTTTTCCAGCAGGAATGAGAGTAAAACACAGGTAGTTTGAAGGGGAGGACACCACAGAATTCAAATGAGCCTGCTTAACATAACACCAGCCCCAAAGACCATACTTGCAGTTAAGAACAAATAAACAAGCCAGAATGACCTCGCTATAATAAACTGTAAAAAGAAACAGCAAAATTTCTCTGATGCTTCTAGTATTGCTCAGGGCCTGAGGGGCACCGATGGAGCTCTGAAAAGGTCAGCTGGTCCAGAAACCACCTCAAATGTCTGGTCCAGAGTCATGGGCCAACATCTAACAGGGTTCAACACGCACTGATGAAGCTTTAAAAGATGAAGCTTTAACAGATATACATATCTATATGTACACCTCTCATTTCCCAACACCCTCTGGAATTACCAACCTGGAGAACCAAACCTGCTAATTCCTGCTCTCCCGGGCCCAAAGCACCAAGGCTTGACCAGCTCTTGGCAAGTTGTCTCTGTGGATTAAAGGGCTTCACAAACGCATCTCACTTTACCTGAAACTTGTAGCCTTCCCGGCAGATGCAGCAGGTCAGACCCGGTTCTTCTATAAGCTCCTCCATCTGTTTAAGCAGCGCAGTCTTGGTCACTACTTGACCCTTCTCATTTGTCTGAAAAGGAGAACAAGCCAAGTAGGTTGAAAAGACCGTAATGCAGAGCACGTCCCCACCACTATAACGGGAATGCCCAATGCACTTCCCAGCCTGCTGGTAGCAACCATATTTACTCTCCCAGCGGTGCCGGGCACGTCACAGGCTCGAGCTCTCCAGTGCTTGTCAATAAATCATTGTACGCAATTCCTCAGGGGTGGCTTCAGCGAGAGAGCAACAAAAAAGTCACGAGATCAGCAGTGTGCTGCGAGTGCAAGCAGACCGTACCGTCATGCCCAGGGTGCCCAGGGCCTTCTGCCTCATTGCCATGGCCATGCGCTTCTTCTCCGCACGCGTCTCCTTGCGGGCGGCGTCGATCTTCTTGTTCACCTCGGGATGTTCCCTCAGCGCCTCCAGAAGATTCTCCGCCAGCGTCCCGATGCCTTCATCACTAGACACCTGCTCCAGCTTGTGCAGGTTTGTAATGGAGTCTGTACCTATTAGTACCTAGGAAACATTGAAACACAGCGCTTTTTGCAAAAAAAGGAAGAAAAAGGGATGCACAGGACAGTACCTGGTCCCTGGAAACCCACCCACAGCAGCTGACTCCAAGTACTGTAGTGTTGTACTTCTGTCTGCAACACTCCCACATTATGGACCCTAGACCCTTCATACAAGACTATGGAAGTTTGCTTCTGCGCTGGCTTCTTTTCACAGAACGCTCACGTTACAACCCCATCATCCATCGGGAAATATATTTAAGGCAAAATCTCAGTCTTTACCTGACTAGCAGACTACATCTGAAGCCAGAACCTCTCCCCAAAACACAACAAAAGTAGCAGAGAATTAACTGCTACTGAAATATCTGCTTAGCTACAACCAGAAAAGACACAGCAACAAGGCAGCCCTGTCCTGCTCTGCTTCTAAGAGAATCTCCTCACCTGGGTAGCCGGGTGCTGTGTGGCAAGTCCTCGGAGCAGGCGGAGGATAAAAGGAAGCGCAGGGCGGGATAAGAACTTCTTCCAGATGTCTGCATCCAAACTGGGCAGGAAACAAGAGGCAGTTGAAGGACAAGGAGCTGCTCTGAATGGCCCCTGGCAGCAGCACGGGCGGCAGAGCACGGGCTGCAGACCCGGAGATGCAGCTCCACGTCCCTCCTCCGCCAGTTAACAGGGACATTCACGCTCCCACTTCCACCTTGTACGCATTAATAGCCACAGTGTCTGAGCCTTGGGATTTGTTCTATATTTATGGGCTGGCTGTCACCAGCAGAAGCTCTGATGCAGTATATGGGGTAAGTTATGGGAAAGAAACACATGGATCATGGCATCCAAGAAACCAGCTCTGAAGGACGTCAGAGGTTTCTGGACTCTTAGCCCAGAGTCCAGCATCCCAGACCCTCTGCACCACCCTCCACTGTACCAAGCACAAGAGCTCCTGAGTGTGGCCTTGCTAACAGCTTTCCTGGAAGAGGGATTTATTGGGAGGTGTTCAAATGAGACAGGGATCTGGGTTACCACACACACGAGGAAGCAACTCACTTCTTAGCACTAGGAATGTGCTTTTTCATGTAGTCAAGGGCATTCTGTGTAATGCCCTTCTGGAGGATCAGATCTTTCAGCTGATGACCATTGCTGTTATTCTTTATCCCCGCTGCTATTTTACAGAAGCAGTCTAGGAAAACTTTGTCGTCTCCGCTGTGCTCCTCATCATACCTGAGTTGAGGGGAGAAACAGTGACTTGGAGGTTCCTCAAAGATCTGCCTGTACAATGGTTCTTATTTTATTATCCCTGAATGCACAAACACACCCTACCTCAGAACAGTTAATGAATAGAGCCTCAGAACACCCCATCCTGCCACTCAGGCCCATCAACATGGAATATACTTTAAAGCTGTATTTTCTGAGCTAGTCATATATTTCTTGTAGAAATGGTTTGGAAGTGAAAAAAATAAGCGGAAACTTTCGAATCCTGAAATTCTGCATTACACTGAAATGAGTATCAATGAGAAAAGGTATGAACTTCTCCATGCATCTGATTTTGCGTGATTTGAGTTGAAGTCTGCCACTTACTTATCAAAGTTACAGTACGGTTTGAATCGGTCAACGAGAATCTGCATTTTCTCCATTTCCCCGAAGGACAAGTAGGGAATGATGCGCAAGAGCCCTTGCAAGACGCTGAGATTGGAGCGGACGAACGTGCTGTTGATCTGGTCGAGCAGCATCACCAGCTGATCCTTGTCTCCTGTCAGGAGAAGGTTACCCTGCAAAGAGAGAGCACGATTTACACTTGGGAATACATTGACACCCTTCAAGGAAACACTTGCTCTCCAGTAGCTGGTACTCAGCCCTTGATGAAACAGAGCTCTTGACCCTGATAAAACAGGCTGGTAAAGAGCAAAAGCCCCCAGTGTCCTGTTATCAACTACTCTAGTCGACACTTGTTTTCCTTCATCTACTTTTAGAGAATTCTCTAGTGGATTTTAGCCCCAAATGAGTGCTTTGGTTGAGGGCACTACCTCCAGGGCATGCTAAGACCTTGCTGGCATGGGTGAGACTTCCATTCCACACAGCTCTACAACATCTCAAGCTCTAGCTCTACAACATCTCAAGCTCTGCATCTGGTAATGGAGGTATCAGCTTTAAATCCCAATCTACAGCCCCTTCAGGCCCTCACCTTGTCCTCGCTTAGAGGTTCTGCATTGGATTCATCCAGTATGATCTCCATTATACTGAGTACTTGCTCTGCCACAGCTGCTCCTCCACTGTCCTTGCTTTCCTGCTCAGCCACGAGAGCCTGGAGAAGACAACAGCACTCACAGCATCAACGGGAAAAGGTTTAACTGAACCACACGCTTCCCGTTACTCGTAGATAAGGAATGCCTAATAGAAAACGTGCTGGGTTCATCCAGCAATATTTAGGATGTCTTGAGGCTCACATAAGAAGAGAGACAAACTGAGGTAGCTTTAAACTCATTTGAGTCCATAGCAAGCACTTTAAGGAAGTCCAAGTTCCTTTGTTGAACAGGATTCCCTTCATTAAATAACCAAGAACTTCATCAATAAAAGCAGTTATTTCTAGTTATCTAGAAATTTGTAGTGCAAAGACCTGCAGATCACCCAAGACCCTGCTAAACTAGAGAGGCAGGACATTAACTCAGCATCCATGTCCACAAGGCCACCGGACAACAACAGTTTTGAAAATCACTTACACCAAGCAACTGTTCAGCCAACATTACCAAATTCCTCCTGTTTTATAAAAGACTCAGTGCTGGGATTTCCCAAGCTAACCGTGTCCCCTCAGTTATCCTTACCAAGTTGAGGGTTCCCAGCATGACATTCAAAGTGTTCATCTCAGGCTTGACCAGCTGCTGACGATTGATTTTCACCTTCACACAGTAACTGAACAGCTTTAACAGCACCTACAAAACACAGAGAATGGATTCTCCACTGTGCTTTCAAAACGGGCATCAAAATATTACTGAAACTAAAAGCACCCGATCACAGAGCTACTTTGCAAACCTGTGAGGTAAAGTACAAGTCAGGGTTTCATACCAATATTAACCTTTGGACAGCTTTGTTTTCTCATTACGACCAAGGCAGAAAACAATCCCTCCAACAAAGTAGCTTTCAGTCTTATCAACAATTTGACTTCTCCATCCATTTTTTTTTTTTTTTTTTTGTAAAAAATTGCTAACTGAGGAGATTGGGAGGGAGAAAGAAAGAACTCTTCAGGTTTTAACAAATGAGTGAAGTGCAACCTCTGCTCCTACACTTGAACCGAAATACAAGACAGCAAAATGTGGAAACCTCACTCAGGTCTGTGGCATTTTCTGCAGTGTAACTCCTAAGCCCAGAGCAGGGCAGCTCCGACTCACCGTCAAGAGGTGCCGGCCTTGCTTGAAGTCCTTAATTCCTGTCAGTCTGTTCAGCATGCACTCCAGGCCGCCACACTGCGCCATCACGCCGGCCATCTTGTACACTTCTTCCTCATCCTCCTCCTCATCTGTGGGACGGACGGGTTGTGAAAAAAGGAAGAGGCCACAAAGATAAGCCACGATGCAGCAGGCCACGTTTACAGGCAGCTAAAGTGATATTAGTTGTGTCAGATTGCAAGAAAAAGGACGAGCAGGAATAGGAAGGAGGGCCACGGTGACGTTCTCGTGCCATACAAGCATTCAGCTTGAAAGCCCAGACATTAAACTCTTAAAATCAGCATCCACTGCAGGAGAAGCAGGTAAATGCAGCAAAAGAAACGTCAATCAACTTCAAGCTTGCTGCTGTGAGGATAAGAGTGTCACTGCTCTACAGCAAACCTCAGATTTCAAATCTAATCCCAGCTTTCAGGAGACAAGTGCATTACCCGTGGTGGAGTCTAGAGACTCGATGAATTCCTCGGTGGCATCTCCTAGTAACCCTCGCATGCGGTAAATGATCCTCATGGGCTCCCCCTGCAAGAGATAAGACTTTTCTTAACAACCTTGCCCTGTACGGACACACATACACAAGTGTAGTTTTCTTTAGGGCATGTAAAACACTTAAGTCTCCTTCTCCTTTGTGCTCTTTTCACAGGAGAGGACACCAAGAAATCTCTCACTCCCTCCTCCTCCCTTGATTGCGGTCAATTAAAAACAACTGCAAAGCCAGGACCTGCAAAAACGTTCAACAAATCCTGAGTTGCTCTGTCCTGCTATGCCTGACGTTGTCTATTAGAGGGATAACGCAGTAATAAATAGTCTTGCCCCCTTCTTTAGCACCAAGGAACAAGCTATGAAAGCAGGATGTGCCCTCATCCATAGGGAAATGCATCAACCTTATCCTTCTCCTTCCAGTGGCAGCATCCTATATATCTGATACATACACAGATAAGGCACAGCCCAATGAAGGCAGCAGAGGAGGCTTATTGAAGCCCTGCTTTTAAATACAGAAAAATGCACAGCGCTGACAAATGAAACAGGAGGAGTAAAAGGCAATTTAATGAGCTTTGCTAAGACGATGGTATATTATTACTGCAAGAAGAGAGCCTAAAATGGCAAAGGATTGCACTTTTGCCATGGAAAGGGGTGTTTTTTTAGATGTGTTTCCAGCTGGAAATACCGACTGCCTATCACTGAACTTTCCATTTTAATCCACAGGACTAAATAAAAAGCAGAAAAGAAAAAAAATCCCAGATTTGGGAGCAAGAGACCTTGCGAGAGAAAAACCTGTCAGAAAGCGCGCTAAGCCTAATGTGCAATAAGCAGTGCTTAATGTCACAGCAAATACATAAGCGCCGGGAAAGCCCCGGGGGGAAGATCTGCTCAAAGGCCGCGCGAGAGACCAGCAATTAACACCGCAGGGGCCCTGGTAAAACGACAGATGAACAAAAAAAGTTAAAAAAAAAAGCTATTGAGAGACAAGGGGAACAAAAAGGGTCCCGAGGTTAGCTTCTCGTGAGCCTATTTCCTAGGGAACGTGAGCCTGAGCTCCCGGAGCGTTTGCTGCGGCGTGTACAAAGGAAGCTGGTGGAAGGAAGGTGGAAAGGAAAGTCCAAAGCTTGTTCTGGGCTCTACATCCATCCCTGGAATGAGCTTGTTGGGACACCGTTGGATTTGTCCCTCAAGAATGTGTGTCCCCTTCTTCACCTGGAGAACAAGCAATACCGGCTACTAACAGCAAATGGAATGGGATCAGTACTCGAGTCAGTATTATGCCCTTTTAAATCATTTACCTTGCAGAACTGAACAAGAGTGTATCCAATAGAGCACAAAAAAAAAGGTGCTGAGTGATTACAGCTAGGAAATTCTGTGCCATGGAATAAATCCTGACTCGTGTAATTTCCAATTAAAACATTGAGGAGAGATGCCACAGACAGACACATACCTCATTAGTAGGACACCACACCTTCTTATAGACCTCAGCTACAGGCAAGTCCAAACTGATGATTTTATTGTTCACCAAAAGCTGAAAGGAAAAGCAGCAGAAGTCTAGAACAAGTTCAAAGCACATTAGCAACTAAAGCTGCTCAGAAATGAGTCCACCCTTGTCAGGGCAAGACATACACTTGATGTGGATCCTCACCTCCATTCCGCTGTCATCCTCCAGCAGAGCTACCAGGTCACAGTCCTGACAGATCTTGTTCTTGATGTCCCTCATGAGCGGCCCGATGCCAGGCTCATTACTGCTGTAGGGATTGCCTGGCATCCTGCCCTGCAGGAAGTCTTCCTGCTGAGGATCTTTCTCCAGCGTTACAAAGAACTCAGTCACCTCATTCTCTTCCTAAAGAACAAGAGCAGAGGCACTTTTTTTTCCACCTCAAACACGCTCCACTTCCCGCACTTGCATGTTTGTGATTTGCAGGGTGTTCCTAAACCCTAAGCTCCTTCATTGCTGGTGTATCCTGCTCTCCGTGGCCCCACGCAGACTTTAATATGCATCTCTATTGCACAAAGTGACATTGCTGCCACCTCTCCCCGCAGCACAGAAGCATGGAACAGGCCACAGCAAGGAAGAATCTGAACATTAGAAGCTCAAAACTGGATGTCACATTACCACATTTCTACGTTGGCTAGTACCAAACCCTTATTGCCTAGGCTACTATTTTGTTTTGCTGAAATGCAAGCTTTATTTAAGAAGTCTGATTTTGTGAGAGAAGGTACAGCCACGTGTATACTCACAGGATAGATAATACTGCAAAGTCTCTCGAAGATGAACACAGGTGTCCTGTAGTCATCGAGGCTGTAACGTTTTGCTGTCTCTATGCACACTGCCATAAACGCCTTTGTTTCGGATTCTGTGCCTGCCGAGAAAGGGAAGCATTGAGAGAGACACACGCAGCAGCTTTTAAGAGCTCTGTTTTAACTCAATATACACAACAAATCCCCATGCAGTGAATATCAGTTCAGTGCCCTCGTCTTCCAAGTATGAGCTACCAAGCAAAGAAAAGGCTGTTCACTGGTGTGGTCACTAGGAAACTCTTTTGTATGCTTGGGCTGCAGTAAAACAGTCCTGCAAGAAGGAGGCTTCAAGTCTCGAGAAAGAAGAGATGATTCCAGGGATGTCACTGACTTTTCCAGTGCCAAGAGGAAGCATTAGAAGGTCCAAGCCATTAAAACAAATAAAAACAGAACAGCAAAAAACCCCAATAGCTAGTCAGGATTTCTGGCACCCACGTGGTTTTACCTGTTGTCATGTCTTCCAGCATTTCCAGCAACATGTCCTGGGTTTCATCGATCAGCTTTGTCCTCTGCACCACTAATTTCCTCAAACACAGGTATCCATTGAGGACTGTGCCCACCAGGCGGCTTTTGAAGTGCCGTTTGATAGACTCAACCTCCACAAAGGAAGAGAGGAGCCCTATACAAGAATGAGACACATAGCATGGAAGAGTGTGAATTGTTAGCTGTTTTCTGTGGCCAGCAAATATGAAATTTTGTCATAGAATAGAACATGAAAAAGAGAGATTACACTGTGACAGCTCAGTCACATTTCAGACAAGCTTTTGAAAAAAGTCTACCATAGAAGGCAAAAAACCCCGAACTGCCATTATAGACTAAAAGGACAAGTTGCTCAAACATTAATAACTAAGGCACAACACAGAGGAATAAATCAGCAGTGTTTACAATGGTGCTGGGAACTATACTGTTCAATAAACATTATCAAGACACGCAGAAGAACAGTGCTATGATAAAGTTTGCATGTGATACAAAATAAGTTCAGGTAACTAAAAACTAAACCTGCCCAGAAAGACCTATGGGAAAATCTGTTTTCCCAATCTATCAGAGCTAAACTGATGGGTAAAAATCCAATGCTGATGATTGCAAAACGCTGCATTACATCTGTTCAGAGCTCTGCTATATGCTGTTACAGAACAACAGTCACCCTATCTCTAATTCTACAATGTGACTCGTGTGGATGCCAGCAAATACCTGTGAGGCTCTTCAAGGCATAGCCCTGCTGCAAATCAGTGCTGAGCGTGGCTTCCTCCAAGGCAAGCAAACGAGCTATTTCCTGAAAATAATTAACATGCCCATTAGGATAAACGGCAGTGACAATAATGACTAACTGGCCAGTGTCCAGGATGGTGAAAACCAACTGACCTGTGTGTGAGCACAGGGGGCAAAGGAACATAGCAAAGAACCAGAGCCAACAACAGAGAAATGACAACTGCAGCGCTGAAGTAGCAAGAAAGAAAAACTGACCCAAATTTTCTCCTGATCTTCTCCCTCTATCAAGCCCCTGACTTCTCCCTCTGTCCCACCCATTCACTTGGGTGACCCCCCAGGACAGCTCTCAGCACCAGGCTGTGCTTCCTACGCTCCATGTGCACCGGACTTAGGGTCACTGTTAAAACGGGCGGCAGTATCTGCCATGGGAGTGAGTTTTTCTCACAGGAAAACTGCCAAGGGCAACTATCTGAGGACGGCTGCTTACATGTCCTCCTCCTTCAACAGGCTGTAATTTACATTGCAGGAATGGTACCACACCTAATCCTCTGTTGGCATTAAGGGCTTTTGGAGTCCAGTCTGGCAGCTAAGACCGCTTCCAGCCTGGACCCGGTGCCAAGGCAGCGCATTAGTATTTATACCCCTCAGCACAGCTGCCCAGAGCACTTACCTGATATGAACTGGCCAGTTTGCACTGAGGCGCAATACAGCTGGGGTTATTTTGTGCTCAGAGGTGACACACAATGCAAAAGGACAAGCTTCCTAAACCAGATCCAAGCTATCAACATCTCAGTAAAGAGATGCAGATGTCAAGGTGCTAAATGAGCTAACGGAGAAGGCAGGGACAAGCTTCCCACCGCTCCAGAGCTCCTCCAAAGGGATCCATACCTTAGTGATGAGACTGCCGATATAGGGCAGAACCCCTCTGGCAGCCAGGTAGACCTTCCAGTGGGCAGGTTTGATGAGTTTCTGATACAGGGCCAGGTACTCAGCAGCGCACTCGCCAGCAACGCTCAGCTCGTCCAGGTAGCTAGTGAAAGGCAAACACAGGCTGCTAACTGCTTTGTGGCAGCACGCAATATTCACAAACTAAGGATAACATGGAAAATAGTTTAAAAAATGCAGAAACTTATCCAGAAATATCCCTATTTTTAGAGAGAAAAGTTCTCTTGGGAATTGGAGAAAATTCATTTTGGAGCTGCGGGGTGTGGCATCCCAAGAAATACCTCGTAAGGAGATCCAGGACCTGCTGTTTACGGCTCGGAATGGTAGCCAGAGCTTCCACAATAGTGCATGCAGCCTGCCTTGCAGCTTGGGTAGCAGGAGTAAACAGCACCTATGGTAGGAATATAACAAATAAGATCTCGTTTGATGTGCACATAAAAACTAATGGTTAATTCTGCCCTAGGCTGTTGCATAGGCTGGTGTTTCCCAGTCAACTTTTCACTAGCACTTACCTGACGCAGCCAATTGTTGTGTCCCAGCTTGAGATCCAGAGGGCAAGTTCTCTTCCCACGGCGACTCATGAATTGCTTCCATTTCCAGACATATTTTTCTGACAAGTAGAGCTGGTGAAGCTCAGCTTTGCTGGGAGCTTTCCCATTGGCATCTATGCCTGCAAAATCGAACGCAGCTTAAGAGAGCTGTCAATGGCTGGTAATTATTAATGCTATTGCATTTTATTTTGCATGCAGGACCACCTCCAACTCCAGCAGGAATTTTGAGAAGCTCCTCATTTCTTTCAGCTGCCATTTTCACTTTCAATTGGGAGCTAAGTTCACCTTCAGCCCATATGCAAATAAATCAGGGAATTCAATTCTACATTTTAGTCGGCTGCTTTAATTTTAGGTAAACAGTAAAGTTTCATTTTTTGGATTATCTCTTGATATTCTTCAGGCGCAGCATATTTTCTGCTCAGGTTGAACCTCACAGCCAAGAGAGATCAGTGCTGCAAGGACTACAGTTAAACATGAAGATGGTATCCAATGTCACAGGACAGCGGGCGACATCTCTGCTAATGTATATATTCCTTATTAAACCTGAAGGATGTGCATATTCTTTCACAAAGTGTGCTAAACTACCCCAAGGTGAAAGCACAAGGCTACCTCTGGCAGGGAGGCACTTTTTCCATGCTTCATACGATGCTTTGGGGTCCCTCTTGAGCCACAGCTGAGCTTGTGCATGGATTTCATTGCTGTAAGGCTTCACAGTGGTGAGTGCATCCACAGGCACATCCTAAGAAGCAAAAAAAGATTTGTGGAAGTTGCATTCTGCCCTCGCAAGAGTTACTCCTGTAGATTCTCCCACAGTGCAGTTATTTCCAATTTTGCTGGAGGGATAATGTGCATGTATATACTGCTATTATGCAAGAGCTGCCTTCACCTATTCACCAAGGAAGTGCAGCTAACTGTTACATTTACAAGAGTAGATTCTCCTTTCCCACTTCCGCGAACAATGAACTGAGATATCTCAGTCTAAAAGAGGTATTGAGACTACCGAAATAGCAGGACATTCATCCTTGACACTGGTGTGTGATTATCTGATAGCTCAGCCAGGAGAAAGAGGCCTTCCCCCTTGCAAATGTTATCTTAGCCTCCAAGCAAGGAGCAGCCAACCAACATCACATCAGAACTGCAGCTCTGTATTTAAACAGAAGATCCAAAGGTTCTTAATTCTACAGAATTGCTGAAAGAACCAAGAGTTTGTCTAAAATATCTCCAGCATCCTCCCAAAGCTGTTCCCTTTTTAAGACTGGGGTGCCAGGCTTCCATGAGCTCGCTTTCACATGCTGGGCTCAGCACCCATGCAGGCAGTACCTTATTTTTCTTGCTGGTTGGAGCAGGTGGTTTGATCAGCTTTTGAAGAATGCGCAGGCACATGAGGGTGATGTTTTCCACAACCACCGGCGTCTTAATATTCACTGCCATCAGAAAAAGGCTCAGAGCTGAAAGAAGGATATAAGGGTTCACACACAGGATCTGTAAGCGTCATCAGCAGTGCTCAGGATAAGGTAAGGGCTTATGTACTTGGCCAAAACTGTCACACTCTCATGGAGTTAGAGATGAAAAATAATTATTTTTTGTTACAGAGAACCTTGCCATCCTTCCCTTCCAGTTTTACTCCTCCACTGTTTTCATTTCTCAGCACTCACATATCAAAGAACATATCCCAAGATGAAGCCACTTGCCGCTAACTGCACTTTTAACCCAAATTACAAGCCAGGATCACTTCCCTTACTTAAAAGTCTTCTTTTGTGCATGGGCTTTGTTATAAAGCTTAAAAATAAAGATTTCATATGAGTTATTTGAACTGACCACATCGTAGTCGGAGCTCCCAGCAGCTGTCCTCCCTCGAGATGGAGTCTGTTAGCAGCAACATTTCATATTGGAGGCTGCTGGCCTGCAGTACAGACACATAATCAAACCCTTAGGGAGTTGTGGTGATGCAGCAGGCATTTTTGCCTTTTGATACTAAAAAGCCCCCTTGTCAAAACACAGACAATCCAATAAATTTAATCCTATGTCTCTCTCTGGGATAATTAGCAACTTGTTTGAGAAGCCTGTAACGTAAATTGCAAGACACCGTTTCAGCTGGCAGAACTGCTCGAGGAAAATTGTGTCCATCATTACATCATTTTATGCTTTGCTTTGATGTATATCCTAATTCCCACCAAACAGAAATGCCATCCGGATTACAAATAGGCCCTGATAATAGAGAAGAAGTAACAATTACGGCACACCAGCCGTTCAGGAGGCCAGGGAAAGACAGGAGAACACAGGAGTTTCTCACCAAGTCAGGGTTTGCCCAGTGTCCTTTCAGAGCTGCAGAAACCTTCCCAATGATCAGGTCATTCATTTGCTGGGTGGCCTCTGGATTGTCCCTAATTTTGGAAGCAAAGAGAATATTATTAAGCTCTGCAGTTAGTCTTATACTTACTAGACACCCAAAGCTCCTGTGGTTTCAGCTTAAATGACGACAACCAGAAGTGCATACAGCAAATGCCACCATACAAACACACGGCTTTCCGGACTTCCCGGGATTCAAACGTGGGATCAGAGCTAACCTGGTGAGAAGGCACATGAGCTGCCGGACCTCCTCCCGCATGGTGGCCGCGCCACGGCGCAAGTTGTAGTCAAACAACTCCCGGATAAGGCCCTGGGACACCAGGATGTGCCTGATGGCCGCGTTGGTGGCCAAGGCCCGCAGCAGCGTGATGCAGTGCTCGGTGACAGCCGAGGCGCAGCCGTAGCATTTCGTTGAAGACGTGTGACCACAGCCTAGAACAGACAAGGCACGGTACTGGCTGGCAGTGAATGTGGGCTGGACTGTGGTTCGGGAGGACTTCGTTGCGGCCTCTCTCTGCTGCAGATCGTATTCCAGAAGCTCCTTTCGAGAGGCAAACACTTTCTGCAACACAAAGGAGGAGAAATGAGAATTATGGAACTATGAAAGGGCACGCAATTGATATTTCTATTCTGCAGCGATGTTATTTTTGTTTTTGCTATATATTTTATGAAGGAACCTTGTTAAACTAGTATCTCAGAACGTGAAATCCTTCAAGTAATGCAAATGTAACTAATTCGTAACCATATGCGCAATAAACAAAACTTTCAGAAATAATCTTTCCTTTCTTTCCTTCCCTGAAAAATCTGCAATTGATCACCTACTGTTAGCTACATCACTGAACAGAGAATGGCAGCATCTTACTTTCTACCTCTGATGTGCACTGCAGCTAGTAAAATAGGGTAACAAATGGCCTAAACTCCAACCACAGAGCATCCTACCTGGATGATTTTTGAGAGTTCATCGAAAGAGTTCTTGCAGTCACCACAGTACTCCTGGGCTAACTGCAGGATGTATCTATTCACACTAGCTGAGGTAGAGCTGATCCCTCCACTACTGCCAGACTCATCCTGGAACAGAGGGAAAAACAAAAGAAATCACACATGGAGACTGCAAATGCAAGCCACAGCTGCAGGGCAGCACCTCACCAAGGACCTTTAGCTTTTCCAGGCAGTGTAAGTGGTCAGTGTCTCAAACCTGTCTCCTGCACAGGTTCTGCATGACAGGCATCACTCCCTGGTTACCTGGGGCTTTTCAGGAGCTGCCTCGTTCACTTTACACAGCAGGTTCTCCAACTGCGGTCGATGTCCCATTAGCTGGTGATACACTCTGTCCGCCTTGTCCAGGAGAGTGTTGATATTTGTTACTGCCTACAGATAAAAAGAAAGGGAAAATCTTTTACCTTTGGGCTCCTGGATGTCATGGTGGTAACACATCAGAGGCCAAGCATGGAAAGCCTACACTTCTCTGATGAAAAGCACAAGATGGAAGCCAGAACCTTTGATACTTTACTTCCACATGCCAGAAAAGCTCCTGTGGATAACTGCAAAGCAAATCTGCCATGAAGCTTCCTCCAAATTCACCCTCTTGTACAGGAAGACAGAGAGAGGCCATGCTAGCCAGCTAGCTTAGGAGAAACAAAGCACTGAATATCATCATGTGAAGAGTTATCTGTTTGATGGAGCAACTAGTAACTACGGGAGGTACTCCATGTCTCAGAAAAAGAGAGATTGAGATTTTGTGAGATGGCTGCATATGAATCTGCTCTTAGTCTCACCTTCTTTCGATCCTCTTCATTCTCTATAGGATCCACGGCGCAGCAGGGCTTGGCATACAACATGAAGTCAAAGCGAGCGTATTTACAGAAGCCACAAGCGTTGCAAAGGAAGGGATCTTTCTCATCATAATTAATGGATCTGAAAGGCAAGCCAGAACAGTCACAAAAATGCTGCTAAGCTTACAAAAATGACTAAGGGAATGACGTGGGTGAGCTATGAGCGTGCCCAGCAAGTGAGAGAGAAGGATGGCCCATAAAACAGCTCGTCTACCAAAGTGCCCTGAGGAAGTATCACGAGTGAAACACCTAAGATACATGTAAATCACCACCTGCAAGCCAGGCACCCCAAGTCCTTACAGAACATGTACCATGCTCTGGCCAGCCAAAAATAACCTTGTGCTGGGAAGCTTCTTTCTTAAAACTTCTGATTCCAAACTTCCGTGTTCTTTCAGCATTGTCATCTTGGGTTTCTACTGCTCGCCTGCATTAACATTAAGTCTCTGGAAGCCTGTTTTATACTTCTGAACTAATCTGATTGTGCAGTGGTATTAATGAGAAGCATGTTACTTAAACAGCAGAGCGTTTTGCTGAGCATTCAACACGGGCAACAGCACAAGGGCTGGAGAAGGGCCCAGCAGCACGCGAGGGACACACCTGCACTTGTGACACTGGTACACGTTCTCGCCACAGTTCCCACACACGCCCGGGTTGGCGGGCACGGACGCGCTGCACCGCGGGCACTGCAGCGTCTCTGTGGAAGCCTGGTAATTCTCGTAGAAATCGGCAAATTCGATCATCAGGTTGGAAGCCACGATGGGCAGCGGCAGATCGATCTTCACCTCCGTCTGGCCCGGCGTCAGCTGGACTTTTTTGGCTTTGTGCCAACGAGCCGGCCTGGCAAAGGAAGGCAGTGACATCCCTTTAGACGGGAAAGGGACACCAAGCACAACCGCCAGGGCACAGAAGCTACTTTAAGAGGGACGACTGGAGAGCAGTCCCAGGATCCACATCCTTGGCTCCCGCCTTGATGTGATGTGCAGCTAGAAATATATTTTAAGCCTTTATCTGCTTTGGAGCAGAGTTTAGGATTAAATAGCTGTTGAGGTCTCGTGGAAGAAAAAAACTTGAATTCTGCAGCCATCACAGAGGGATTTTCACCTCTGTGTTTCTTCCTCTCCCCATTTTCAGAAAGGGGGCTCTTCACTTCCTGAGATCTCCGCGGCTCCCCCTGCTCGCTTCCAACTTGGAAGTGGGCAGCCTCATTTTGTGACGTCATAACCCTCTCTCTGTGACATCACAGGGGAGCCGAGCCCTCTGTGACATCACAGCAGATACTGAGTGCTCTGTGTGACATCACCTCGATCTGAGCACCCTGTGTGATGTCACCACGGACCCCTGAGCCCCTGGGTGAGGACATTGGGAATCCGAACCCTCTGTGACACCTCTGGGGACCTGACCCCCTCAGTGATGTCACCAGCAACCCCTGAGTCCCCCGAGTGACATCAGTGGGGAGTTAAACCATCAAATTAGCAATAAATTTTGGGCATAGATAAATTTCCTGAGCTAGATGGATCTGCTCCTGGTGGGAATGTCTGGAGAAGGAATTTTTTTTACAGCTAAAGCAGCAGTGAAGAGTCAGGTCACCTCACTTCCAATTTCAGTTCTAATATTGAGTCGTTATATTGTCAAAACTATTAAAAGTAATTTAACAGTTTTGGCATTTCTGGATGAGTTTCAAGAACCAAATACCCCCAGTTGCAATTCTGGTACAGATACTGGTCTCCAAACAATTATGTTAGGTGTTTAATTTTTTTTTTTCCCCATGAATTGAAGATGAAACTAGATGCCAGGTCTTGGGAAAGAGCCGTATCAACACTAGGAACCTATCAACATCACAGTAAATCTGCATTCTTCCACCTCCCCCAAATTCTCCTGCCCTGCACCAAAGGCAGGGCTGAACATACTTGTTCTTCAGCTCCACTATGGCTTGCACTGTCCGGTTGTTGTAATAGAGGTTGATGGTTCGCACCATCTTGGTGCGTTTCAGGTCTCCGATCTTCACCGTCACCTTGCTGATGGTGTGGCTGCCAATGAGTTTCACCACTTGCTGGGTGGTGGTGTAGCGCGTGTCCACTTTAATGGAGGACAGCTTTATGTACTGGGAAGACACAAACAAGGACACGTTACAGCTCTGAGCACACCCTCAGAAAGCAGAAAAGCTGCCAACTGTGCTGCCGTGCAGGCCACGATCCTTATGGATCCCTGCAGCGTTAGGGATCCCAGTTACTTACGCAGAAGGGCACCTCTGGATTGTTGCAGACCAAGCAAGGATCACTCTCCAGATAATAGCCATCAAATTCCACCAGCCCAGACAGAGTGCTGGAGCAAGGGGGAAAACACATGTTATTTGGCAGTCGGTGCTGTAATCGTGAGTCACTCAGGCAAGCAGAACTGTTTTAGTCTGGTTACAGTTGCACCCCGTCCCTCACCCCAGGCCCAAATTTCAGAACAGAGTGTTGCAATGCACTTGAAGAAATAAGCTTGAAGAAATAAGTTTCCATCTATCTTTGCCACACAGAAAAGTGTTATATTTCACTGAGCAGCATTTTAATATATTATTAGATCTATTTTTTTCCTGCCATTCTCTAAAGGCCATCTGCAACAAGCACAAAATCTCAGTACGAGACCTTCCTCCACCATAACTTCAATAGAAGAAATAACCACAAGCCCCATTGTGGATCACAGCTCATCTGCTGAAAAGGTCCTTTAGGAAAATGGATCAGTCAGGAATAACTCACTTGTAAATATTGGAGTTGGGGTGATTGGTAAGAATGTGGTTTTGCGTCCGGAGAATCTCCACAGCCTTTTGGGAATATTCCTTCAACTGAAAAACAATTAGGAAAACATCATCTCTCATCTCTTCTACATTTTTTAATGACAAGAGATTTCTCCTCTTCTGGCATTCCATGTCACCCAGATGATGCACACACTATACTCATGGGAATTTATGTGGTTAAATCATTATCCAGAAACATAATTGATCCTAAAATTAGATCTTTACCACAGTAATGACTCTATTAGCCAGACAACACTGACTGCAGATTCCTGACAAGCTTTCGCAGGGCATTCCCTACTCTTTGCACATAATGCAAGCAATTACCAATGCATCTAAAATAGTTGTTCTCAGGCCATGGGTCCCCAGAGAAATCCCACCACTTCCTTCGTTCAAAAGTAACGGTTTTAAAAACTTCCAGGAATTGAAATATCAAAAACCACTATAAATCAGAAAATCAGAAATGGAAGAAAAATGTATTTTCTCACAGAGTCTTCTTGTGGGAATGGGAAATATTTTTGCTAAAGCAGAACCTGGAGGCTGCTCCTCCTTTTCAGGAGGTCACTCTACCTTTTTCTCTGTCTGCTGTGTTTTCAGAGAGAAGTATCCCAAGAGGTCTACAAATTGGGCAGCCTTTCTTCCGTAGGCTGGAAGTTCTGGCCAGATTGACCACATGAGATCCAGGAGTAACTCTTGCTGGGACTTGTTAGAGTTCCTGTAGGACAGATGATATATTCCTTCAGCTTGTGAAAACAGCTACGTAGTCCACTTGGTACGCAGGCTGGTTTCCAAAGGAACATACATGCTACAGTTAACCAAAACTTCTACATAACAGATAACTATTATCTTTCTATATAACTGAATTCATGCAGTTAAACCTCATCTCTTCTTGCCACTTGCAACTTTGGAACAGAGCCCTGAAGGAGCTCAGCAACCTGAGCTCTGCCTTCCCCTATGTAATCTCCACTCCCACCTTTCTAACTGTCAGTTCGAGCCTGCCTCGGAAAGAAATTCACTTTCCCCCAAAATATCTGTTCCTGGAGACATCATGAGAGTGCTTCTACAGGCAGCAATAAAATGCTGGTTTCAGAGGACCACCAAGTTGAGCAGTAAAGAGCAAGTCCTCCCTGCCCTAGCAGATGCCATCCATCTGCAAGCCTCAGCACCCTTTAGGGGAGAGGCTCAAGCACTAACTCTTCAGGGCTGACTTGCTGGAGCTGAGACTGACTGTTCACGCCGAGGCAGCTCACCGGTAGATGTGGAGCGCGAGGCAGTGCGCCTGCCATCGCACCGAGGACGAGTTGGACTCCAGCAGGAAGCAGCGCAGGAACTGGATGAGGGTTTCCTTATCCGCAAACTTGTTCAGCTGGTTCACCAGAGCAGTGCACAGCTGGTCCTCCTGGCTGCCTGAACTCTCACCTAGGGGACAGCGGGTGGCACAGGACACACAGATGAAACACAGAACCTCGGACACAGGCCGCTTTTCTGCTTTACGAAACAGTCATCAAGGACAACATAGATAAATGACTATAGTTTAGTCGATGTACCATAAATGTGCACAGGCAACAAACATGTTCAATACCAAAGAGTATCCCTCATGCCCAAGATTTGTAGGGGAAAAGCCCAATTATTGTTCCCCAAGAGTCTGGGCATCTATTAAGCAGCAGTTCTGGCTCCAACATAGCTTAAAAATGGGGCAGAAGCAGCAAGCCTGAACACAGTCATTGAAAAGGAGAGCTAACTAGGTGTGCATGTCCAGGACTTGTTTTAATCTCTAGGAGCCTTTCAGTCTCTTACAGTGGGGCCAGAGAGCTTACATAGAAAATACTTTGTCACCAGGAAAGGTAATTTTCATTGCACAACCTTAAGCTCGGGCGATTTTATAGATACTCACAGCAGGCTTGGGATAGATCAGCACCTAATCTGAGCTCCAGTTTTAAGGGCATACTGCTCATCTTTGACCCACTCCAGTCTACCCGCAGTAGAAATGCATTTCTGTCCTAACTGATACTAAATTCAGCAAGTGCTCTTGCCAAGAGCCTCTTCCACAGCAGGATTATTTACCCCAAGAAGAAAGCAACAGTCTCTAAAACAGGGATATGAAACGTTGAGAGATCAGGGTATAACCCTAAAAGCCCCACAGAAGTGGGCACAGCCACAGCTCACCCTCCCGTTCCTTTTCCTTCTCTTCTTTCTTGCTCTTTTTAGCAGAGGATTTGCTCTGTGTTGCTGGCTGCCCGGAGCCTGATGCTGCAGGAGCAGAGGCGGAGGAGGTGCTGGAGGAGCCCGAAGACGAAGTCACAGACAGCACTTTGCTGCCACACAGAGCACAGGAGAGCAGCTGCAGCAGAACCGGGGACACCCCTTCATCCACCAGGAAGCTGACTTGGAGGAGGAAATAAAGAACTGCTGCAGGGGGAAAGAAAAAAAAAATGTCATTGAATCAAGAATTCAAAAGCTGAATCAAGATCAGAACATGACAAACCCTCCATCCCTACTTTAGGGAAGCCCAAAGCCTGGGCATATCAAGGTAATATGTTTCATCACAAACTGCCTGTTGGCACAACAGCAACACACACATCTCTTATTCCCAATCTTGCCAGTTATCTAGTACATAATAATGTCCATAACTGCAGCCTGGGTGTTCTCTAGCTAAGGAACAGATACAGTTAGAGCACTGTGATAATTAGTGCTGAAAAAAGTCAGTCCTACTCAAAATTTCTTTCTCTCTGTTGAATTTCCTCACGTGAGGAGACACGAATCAAACTGAGACATAAAAATCCTGCCCTCTGTGCTCTGAAATGCTCTAAGAGAAAGAACTCACAGTCATCTTTAATGCAGAATTTTTGCCAGTTTACTGTTCGCTGTGTGGCAATCTCTGCGCAAGCCTTTAAATGTTCCATCTGAAAGGCAAAATTCAACATCACATCAGCGTTTCCATTCCTGACATCTTACAACACACGCTTTTTTTTTTTCCTCTCTACCAAGTCACACAGTTTTCCTTACCAGGTTGATCAACGTATCATACTGCAGGGCAGAGCCCGAGCTTGCTGTGACTACGCTAGCACGAAGGAAAATGCCTTGCTCTTCCAGGAGCTTTTTAATTCCACGAACATGAGAGTCCAAGGTGTGAAGGTCTCGGAGCTGGCGGTATTTCTCCTTCGATCCACAGATGAAAAGCAAAAGCTTGCGGACTTGGCGGCGTACAAATGGAGTCTGCTGGATCATCAAGTACTAGACAAGGAAGGCAAGACTACAACATTAGTACTGGGAGCTTGCCAACAGGCAACCTGCAGCACCAAAATATGCTTTTAAATATGCTTTCATATAGGTTCTTGTTCAACAGAAATAAAACAATGTCAAGAGTTGACATTTCAAGGAGCAGGGAATGAAAGATGGATCTGAAATAGTCCTAGAGCAGCTCATTTCTCCCAGTACACAACAGCATTACTGATACTTTTCAGTTAAAACTTGCAGGATTGGCCCGTGCTCATCTACCTCGGACAAAAAGTAGAACCAGGAGTGATCGAAGATGGGAGGTGGGATGCGGGAATTTGTGTCCGCAATCTTCTTGATCTGATAGGGCAGCCGCAGTACCATCTCAGTCAGAAGCTGAGTGTAGGCCTCAAACACATCTGCAGCGTGACCCTGGAAGCGAGAAAACTCCATCAGCCCCTGGCTCATAACACCCACACCGTGCTGTCCTGAAAACTACAGAGTGCATTTGTCCATTCTCTAAAAACAAAGCTCTTTTGCACCTTTGCTACCATGAGAAACGCTCCCGACTGATCACCGAGTGCCAAGCTAACAAATCCACATGTGGACTTTAAGTGTCAGGATGCAGTAAGCTCCTCTATAGCCCTAAGGCATTTTAATACACTAGCCTTCAACTTAAGAGACATCCTCACCTCTAACTAGGCTTATTTCAGTGCACCTGTGCCTATATCAAAGCCTCTCTCAACATCAGTGAAATCTTAAAATAAAGGCACCACGGTGGTGGAACAAGCCTAGGATTTAGTATGGAAATCCTCAGCAGCTGCTAGGATGCCACAATAAGTAGCAGTGGTTCAGAAATTCTGCCTGCCAAGCAAAAGGAGTCGCACGACGAAGTAGCTCCCCTTCAGGAAGATTAGCCTTTCAGCCAGAAACAATGACAGCAGCTCCACAAAACCGCCTGGTTCAGGAACGCATCAGCGGATATAGCGAGCAGGGCTACTCTGACAGAGCACTCAAGGCAATCCAAGCTGTAACAAGGCTGCAAGAGAAGGGATTTTAATTGCACAACTCGGGGGCAGATGCCAGCTGACAGCACAGCACTTCTGCAAAGACACTTGTGTTCCCATCTGCGCGAGCAGAGCGTTTAGGCAGGTCGCATAAACGCTAATAGCACCAGGCAGGGCTCACCTTGACGTACTGGCGGAGGAAAAAAGGGCTCATGTCGGGTGGAGAAGAAGTGGTGTGAGGTTTCAGGAGCTGGCTAGAGGCTACAGGCTCCTCATCGTTCTGCTGGCTTTTCCAGTACTCGAGCAAAGACTTCAGCACATGAAGGCAGTAGTCGACGGCACCGGAGCTCAGCAAGGCGGCAGCAGTGGCACTAGAGATGAGGGAAGAAGCCTGAGACAAAGAGGAGAGGGATTACTAGAGCACCTAAGAGCCCACTGCAGAAGAGCAAGACAAGCCAAGAGTGTCAGATGGCATTTGCTGACAGTCCAGATAAAAGAGCAGGTTCTTAGGAAACTTTACAGGCAGCTTTTAAGTTTGGGGTTTGTTTGAGGTTGGGTTTTTCACATTTTTTTCTGTGCGTGTGTTTAAGAAAAGCAACTCAAATATCTACAGAGACTCTTTTGAACAAGCGCTTAGTAAAGGAAAACAAATAAAATCTCCTCTTAAGTCTAATCTCCCCTCGACACATGTGCCAGAGGCCACTGTGCTATGGATTAGACAACTAGGGTGCTTTTTTTTCCCCCCTCTCTTTTTTTTTTTTTAAAAAAAAAAAAAAAAAAAAGGTGTGATTTCTGTTTGTTTATCTGGGATTTGGCCAGCTGGGGGTGAATTCCGGTAGAGAAAGAGCCCCTGTTTGCAGACGCTGCTCAGAGGCTCTGCTCCACCCAGGTATTGCTCCACCTGCATTCTGCAAGACGACAAGCTTTGATTTCTGTGGGAAGCTCAAGCGAATAACAAAGGCTGGAGAAAAAGCTACTGTAAATAAAACTATTAAAGCAGCCCTGTAAATCCAAACAAACCCCACAGCTCATAAGCTCATTAAAATTTGATGCAGTTCAGACTAAATTTTTTAACCTCTATGCTTTTTTATTAATCTCCTTCCCACCACACATACTGCTTTTTATGCCTTATTACTGTACCTTTTAGCAACAAATATCTAAGGAATCCTCTTAGCGACTTTTACGTTGACACAGCAGCATATTGCTTTCCAATAATCACATTACAAATCCCCTTTAACCCTTTCAACACCAGTACGATGCAATGGGAAAATCTGTCGAGCCATTATAAGAAACATTATTCACGTGCTGCCTTGAGCCTAGTTGGAAACTGCTGGCAAAACCAGGGAATCCAGTCATCTTTTCCTATCAGTTTCCTCCATCCTGAGTTTCAGCTGACACTTTTTTTCACAATAGCCAAATAATGGCAATGTTACTTGCAGATTCCTCACAGACTATTCCAAAGCACACTTAGCTGTTTACTTTTACACTAAAGTCTATATAGTTTTCAGACCATCTCTGATGAACAACAGTACCCCAAAGCCATCACCTCTCTGAAAAAGCAGTTTGAAGAACATACCTCGCAAATGGAAGACTTGGATCCCGACTTAGTTCTGGACATGAACACACTGAGCAGTCTCATTACCACCAAATGTACTTCGTTCACAGGAGAGCGCTCATTTTTCTTAGACACGTCCTGCAGGGAGAGAGCTTTTTCACTTACAGGCCTGAGCATAACGTCCTGGACATCAAAATTTCAGTGCTCTGATTCCCAAGAAATGCTTCTAAATGAAGCTCAAGCAATAATAAGAGAATATTATAAATTCCTCAATATAAGGGTATAACAGTAGTCTGAATTCCAGAAAGCAGTTACAAAACTGAAAAACGTATTTGTGTGTGCATCCTTGATCATACTGAATTCAGGAAAACAAGTTTTTACGCTAATTTGTTGATGCCAGAACCAGGTCATTTTTCTATCTTGCATGCAAAAGAAACAAACTCTCTGAGCACACTGCTACAACAATCTATTTGCGTTACACCCCTGCACCTGATTCCTAAGGGTAGCAGAATGTTTACTCATTGAATAACTTACTTTTTTGTCCATGCACAGTTCTGCAATGAGCTGAGACAGGAGGTTATCCAAAGCTCCCTTGTCTTTCTCATCATCCCCATCTAGATCTGTCGTGAGCATCAGGATAACCTGAAAATAGAAGCCACAAGTAATAAAAGTCCAGTTCCACATGAGACAGATGCAGATTATTACCCGTAAAAACCCTGCAGATTTTTATCTCAGATACATGCTCTTTTCCAAATTCTACCTGCACCATCACATCCTAATATGAACATTTAGTATAAATTAAACTTTTCTAGTAGTAACTCCTTGATGAAGTCCTAGCTCCTGGGCCTTCCTCAGGTACCTGCATGTAAGGAATGGCACGGACTCCTCCAACGTTCCTCAACTGGGGCAAGTTTTGCAGCAGCCTCTCCAGTAGCATCAGTCGGACCATGTGCAGCCTGGCAAACCAGAAGCCAGGAATTAGACACAGAATCATAGAATCACAGAGCACTTGGGACATTTTATAATAAATGGGATGCAGCAGGATCAGCAGCAGAGCACTGGAATTTAGCATAAAAGAGCAAGAAGAAATCCCCAAATGATCAATTTAGCATTGACAGGAGAGGACTCCCCGAGAGCCAAGAGATGTCAAAAATGCAGATACGGGTGCTTCTTCACTTCAGAATGATGTTGCTGAGTGCAATTACCTGCAGAAATCAACTCTCAAGACAAAAACCAGTTGCAAACAGCATCATAAAAAACTCCTGAGCATGTTCCCATGCAACGAGAAACTGCAGACCTCTACCAAGGTGCTCAGCAAATATCACTTTTTTCCCTAGCACCTAATTTCATCATCTGCCAAGCTTTATATTGCAGCAACTTCCTAACAGACTCATGCAGGGTTTTTCCTCACTTTTATACCTGCATAAGTTACATGAGATTCACATCAGGTAGGTGGCAACACGTTACACTGGTGAACGCACAGATGGAAGCACTTTTGTGGAGACAACTTGCTCTAAACTGTTTCAGACACCTGTCAAACTCACTTTTGACTTCTATTTTCTAAAGCTACTCATCATTTTTGTTGAAATTAAGCACCTACGGTCTATTCTTCTACAAACAATGATGCTGCAGAATGTATGTTGGAAGAGGAAACAAAGTCCCTTGCCTGTTGCTGGTGTGGACATCTCCTTCAGCCTCGCCTTCCCCTTCTGATCCATCTCCTTCTTGCTGGCCTGTAGTAGTGCTTATAGCACCTGTGCTTGAGCTGACACTGCCGGGTCCAGCAGGGTGGCCCTCAGCTGTGGTGTCCCCATAGGCACTGCTACGGCCAGACACTGCAGAAGATCAAAGGAAAAAAGAAGAAAAAAAGGAGGGAGAGGGAGAGGGAGAGGGAGAGGGAGAGGGAGAGGGA